AAGGGAAGGGGAAGGGGAAGGGGAAGGGGAAGGGGAAGGGGAAGGGCTGCCTCCAACATGTACCTGTTAGCTGCTCCTGCTTTAGCTTCCATCCTGGCCCGCCCAGATAAACACAAGGTGGGGGGCAAAAAAACCTGCAGAGACCAGAGGGCACTATTACTGCACCCACAGAAGGTTCTTGGCAGGGATAGGTGCCTCCAAGTGACCCCAGAGCTGGCTTAGTGCTGCTGTCCCACCTCTGGGTGCTGCTGGCGGGCACAAGGCAGGGACTGAGCAGCAGGAGGGGGTGGGGGTCCCACAACCCCCCAGCCCAACCCGACAGAGGCTGAGCTCTGTGCTCTGCCCGCCTGGAATGTGGAGTTTCAGCAGCTCAGGAACAGAGTTTGCATTCACAGCCAGATTTGGAGACCAACGCAAATAAATCTATACCCAGCGTTTTGGAAACCTATTTTCCTGTGTTTTATTTGGGTTTCCACTGTCACTGCACTCGTGTGAATGGTGCAAATTCATTCTCTATTGATACTAGGTGAAATGCCAGCAGCACGGGGAGGTGATATTTTGGAGCCCTAAAGTGCTGGGGTCCTGGTTTGTTTAAACAGACCTCCCCCAGCTCTGGGCCACGAGGACATGAAGGAAACCAGACCAGCACCTTTCATCTTTAACCAGGGGGCAGCTCAGCCTTAAAGGTGGCACTAATAAGGGGGGGATTATTTATATCACAAAGACTAATGGAGGATAAATTATACTCCATTGCCACAGCTGACGTCACTGCTCAGGAGTAGCAATTTTGGAGATTCAAGCCAGAACCTCAAGGCGCTCTTGCAATGCGGGGAGGATTTTCAAAAATAGCTTCTGGGAGACCATGGCCATTGATGGAAAAGTCCCAGCGTGACCTTAAAGCAGCAACCTCTCCTCTTCGCAATTTCATGCTCAGAGGGTAAGACCTGAATGGCTTCTCCCATTTTACCCATCTCCCTGACCTTGCTGGGGGGAAGAAGCCCAGGAGGAGCACCAGCTCCAGGTTTGTGTGGGTGGGAAGGATGCGTCCCATTGTTCAGTCCCTGAGGACTGAATAGCTTTGGGTGCTAAAAGATCATGAACGAACAGCAAGGGGATATGTTAAATCTGTAATTCTACATCATTGCCGCACCAGGTTTGATGAAAGGGCTTTCACAAGCTGAGCTCTGCAGAGCTGCTTTGGGAAGGAGAAGATGTCTCTTACCTTTTCTCATTGCCATATGACTTCTGGGCGACTTTGGCATGCAGTATGAGCACTGTCTGCTCTGCTGGCAGCTGCAGGTATCTCCGCACGCCATCCCGCAGAAGGTCAGCTTGGTGTGGGTTGGACCTACAAGACAGAGGTTCTGCTGAGCACAGTGCACACAGGGATGCTCACTGCCTTCTGCAGGGCTGTGGGGTGAGCACAGACTGTGCCCAGGCTGAATTTGCTGCCCCACAGCCTCACACAGGGCAAGGAGATGTTGCTCCACAGCCCTCAGGCTTTGCTTGTGGCTTCACCCATTAGCAGAGTATGGAACAGCCTCACACCAAGGTGAGGCAATGGCAGGGAGTGTTTGGCAGCATATTGGCCAAAAAATGTGAATTAAGACGTGTGCTGACAGCACAGTCAGAAGCAAATCCTGCTCTGCAGAGCTTCCTGCAGCAGCAGCTTGGGGCAGGGCCAGGCTTGTGTGGGTACCACCGCTCCCTCCCAGCCTGCGTAACGCAGAGGCACAGTGCTGGGTGACTGCACAGCACCTATTAGTGCCCCATCTGCACTAATTACCTTCCTTCTGCTTCAGGCTGGAAGGTGCATGCCAAAGGCAGGTAAAAAGACTCGACATCTAGCAGCAGGAAGAACTACTCAGCAACTTTTTTCTTCATTTTACCCATTCTCTTCAGCAATTCCCTCCTGACTTCTGGGGCTATGCTGCCTCAGTGATGCACTCCTGAGCAGTGCTCACCACTCTGACCGTGGAGACGACCACCCAGCCTCCATCATCTGGTTTACATTTACCCTCAGCAAGTCAAAGAGCCATTGCTAATGGGTGCAGCCACCCGCTCGGCTCCTTCTGGCACCTACAACCTCTTACAGGGAATCATTCACTCCCTCTGACATTTATTATATTAAATTATTAAAATGCTTTGATTGTAGTGCAGTGTTAGTTCAGTGTCATGTTAGCAGCACCGCTTGCACTCAAAGCCTTCTTTTCAGAACCTGAACTCTCAGCCAGGAATCCAACGCACAAAGTTGGGTATTATGTGGAAGCAGAGCAGGTCAGCTCAGCTCTGCAGGCCACAACCTTCACCGGGCTGCTTTCTGTGAGCCTGCTCCTCGCCCTGCACAGCCTGGCCTAGCCCTCACTTTGGGTTTGGATGTACTGCAGGAGTGGGTGCATTTTCTTTGGTTCCACAGAGAACAAAAGCACCCGACCCAGAGGACCAAAGCACCACCCCACCAGCCCTTGTTTGGCTCTTCAAGTGCTGCCTATACAATAACTTTAACACCACCCTCAAGTGCAGTTAACTCTGAATTCAAGCAGACTGAGTTTTCTGCTCTCCCTGCCCAGGAGCTGCTGCATGCTCTGCTCAGAGCACAGCTGCCCTGCAGCTCGCCACAGAGTGCTGTTGTATTTTCCCGTGCTTGGAGAAACCAAATCTCCTCATAAAGCCATTTTGGAGATCTGGGCTGTATTTTGTACAGAGCAGGGGAGAAAATGCCTGCTGGGCTCCTGGGTATGGGCTCAACGCGATGTTTATGCAAAAGGAAAAGCCATTAGAATTCACAGAAACGAGAAGCCTGCAGTTTCTGGCTTCCCTCATTTTTCAATACCTCCTTTAATCCAGAGCAGCCCAACCCACAGGCCCTTGAATATGCACGGGTATTTATAAATCCTATATTTTCAGCGCTGCACACACAAGTGAAATTCAGCCTTTTCTGGGCTTGGGGGATTTATGGACCACGCCAGCAGCAAACAGCAGAGCAGGGTGGGTGAGCTCTGTGGAGGACCGGAGCTCAGGAGGGGGGTGGTCCCCGCCTGCCCCACCACTGCTCCATTTGGTAACACAGCGTTGGCTCGGCTGCCGGAGAGCTCCGATAACGCAGGTGATACATTGAGGTCCCCTATCTCTGGTTTCTGTTAGCACAAAGAGGGAGGGAAGTGCTGTTAAAGCACCAAAGCCCAGTGCAGTACGGCGCTAAAGGTGGCTCCCACCACCGCTATGTAACGTGAGTGCTGAGATGAGGGGCTGGGATGCTCTGTTCCCAGGTGCCTGAAGGTGATGCTCTCCATTGCTACAGCACAGCACATCACTTGTTGCTGCTGGGAGCTGGACCAGAGGCTCTGCAGCCCCAGCTAGAGAGCTCTTCAAACTCCCCGCTCGATGGTGCTCAAAGGGAAGGAAGGACGCGTGGTGCTTGGGCGATTTTCTTGAAGCTGATAGGAGACGCAAAGCGGAGAAGGGGAGAAAAACAAACCACCCAACCCAGAAAGCCTCTCCCTGTCGGCAATCACTTTCACGCCGCCCCACGCCCACCCCCCTTGGCGATGCGCTTCCACCTGTGCCCACCTCCCGCTTGCCCACGTTCCTCGGTCGTGGGGGGGTCCTTCAGCCCCTCCCGCGCTGCGCCGGGCAGAACAGAGCAGAGCAGAGCCGCCCCGCCTCCCCCCGCCCCGTTAAATGCCGCGCCGCAGCAGCGCTGAGCACCGCGCAACCCCGCGCCTACCTGAGCCAGCAGCGCGGCGGGGAGCGGCTCCGCGGCCGGTACGGGTGAGTGAGGGTCTCCGCTGCATCCGCACCTACGGGAAGGGAAAGGGGAGAGAGTGAGCCCCGAGCTCCGGGGGGGGGGGGGTTGGATCGGGATGGAGGGTTGGGGTGCCGGGTGCCCCCTCGGAACGAGCGGAAAGCAAAGAGAGAATGGGGGAGAGGATAACCCCTCGGCACCAGGTTATCCCCATGTTCTGTTGCCTCTGTGCTTTTCCTCTGCTTTGATGCAGCGCTCACTGACCCACCTGAGCACACGGCGCTGGGGAGTGGGCGCTGCCGTAAGCCCTGCCCTGCTGTCGGGGCAGCGCTGCTCGCCCTCTGCCTGCCCTGCTCACCGCTGCCCGGCTTTCGAGCAAGTTCTTGCTTATACAAGCGAGGATCTCCATTAGCAGAGAGTAGTAAGCTCTCGTACACCTGGGCAAAGCATGCTGCGCACCAGAAGAACAAAATCCTGCCAAAAGATAAGCTTGAAAATGGAGCTGAATTTAGTTCTGCCCCATTTCATGGGATGCTGGGTTTGTGCACACCCTGAGTGTGCTTGCATGTACTCATGAATAGGTTTGCACAAGTGATCACCCACCTTTGCCTTATAACTCCAACTGTTTCACAGGGGAAAAAAATAGCCCTGGGCATATTTGCTACAAGCAATTACATGGGAAAACTTGTTTGGAAAAGCAGAGTATTCTGCACTGGCGTGCAGCTGTCCAAGCAGGTAATGCAGAGTGATGGCATGTGCTGTTGGGGGCTTTCCCCTCGTTCTGCTGCAGAATAAGGGGTGCAGAGCTCCTGGATTGCCCTGCAGGCAGGAGCTGGTGTGGGTGAGAGGAAGGAAGCAGAGCTCTGTCACTTGAAAGGAATCCACCACCTCTTGTGGGACTGGTGGAGGGGGGAGCAGGCTCCAAGACAGGAGCCCATTCACAGCTCTGCCTCTTCTACGTAAGCTTGCAGGATTTTTGCCTCCGTCAAGCCCAGATTGCATACAGAATTACTCTGAGGTCCTCCCTGTGGGACCCTTTGCAGTATCTCTTGATAGCAACAACAAAAATCTTCCTTATCTGTTGTTTTCCTGAGAACAGGAGCCATCAGTTGCAGGCAGCCAGCTTGGAGGCTCTCAGTAACAAGTAGAAAGCATATTCCACAAGCAGATTCTTGCCATCTGTTTAGGGAATATCATTAGATTGGCATCCAATCCAGGCAGAAAGCCTGTGTGTGGGGAGAAATCTGCTCTCAGATCTCAGCCCTGCTATTTGCCACCAGGACTTGGCAATGCAAAGAGCAGAGTTAACTCCTGGGATAAATCTGGCCTCATCTGAAAGACAAATTCCCATCTGGAAGGCATGTGAGAGTCCTTCGGGTCTGTAGTAAAATGGCACTTTCCATCAAAGCAGACAGAGTCTGCTGCGTCCAACAGGAGAAAGTTGTTGCTCATTTCTGTGGGAGTTCTAACTTCTTTTTTTTCCCCCTCTTAAAGCATTAACTAAACGTTGTGGGATTACTGCAAGTTGGGCTTGGGATTTACTTCTGTTGGTGATGGTAGCCACCAGAAGACACAGCCAACACAGCTGCCTGCTGTAGGCAGTCTGCAGTCACAGGACGTGTGTGCTGTGAGCACTCACAGCATTTCCCTCGAGGCTGGCATTAGGGGTTAAAGGTTTTCAAGAGAAGCCTTTGTTTGAGCATTTTAAAAGTTTCCAATAGGGGCCCCTTTGTCCGCCTTCCGAGCGGCGTGCCTGCCTGGTTCAGAACTCAGCACTCATAAAATACCATTTATAAATGCTGGATGAATGGGGCTGAAACATTGAGAGAGGCAGCAATAAGCACACACGAGCTACAGACGAGCCCTACCATCACTGCATAAACCTGGGAAATCACAACAAAAATGATTGAGTGGCACTCATAAAGAACTGTATAAAAATCAGCTGCAGAAAGAGTCCCCTTTGTGCCACATATCCCGTGGGCTCCTCCAGCCCTGCTGCAGGCTGAGTGGCTCCTGTGGCAGGTCAGTACCTCCTGCCTTCATATTTCCTCACTTTGGGCCCAAACAGAAGCAAATTGATCACCAAAGCACAGCCCCTACTACCATAAGAGCTCCACTGAGCAAGCATTGTCCCTCTGTCAGTATTTGCAGCATAGATGTGGTTTAGGCAATAACTAACATCGCTAGCAGCTGGGTTTCTGTTCACTCCCCTGCCCAGGAGGAATGTGAGGGTTTGACTTCCCACTTTGCAAGTCCTTGGTTGTATGCATGAATCCATCATATACTCATTTCCCCGGTGCACAACTCCATAGGGATCTGCTGTGGTTGCCTGCAGAGAGGTGGCAGTGCCTCAGTTCCTCCCTAAGCATTGAGCATTCCCACCTCCAGGCTGTGTCCTGCTGCTTCACCAACTGATTGCTACCCCATAGTAACAGGATCCTGATCTACACTCCACAAACCCATAGGAATCCATGGCCCACAGCAGGAATCAGTAGGAGCAGATCAGCTGGCTTAGCTACTCTGCAGGAGTCTGCCTTCCCCTTGCTCTCCATACATCACCACCCTGGTGGGACAGTTGCCTCAGCAGAGAGCTGGGACAAGTCTGTGGGGGCTGGTGGCCATGAAGTTATATGGAAGGGTTTTCCCATGCTACCTTCAGGATTGCCAACATGAAAAGTATCTAGACAAAGACTTCAACCACATTGCTTTTCTGTCTTGAGGAGGGCTGCAGTCTCTGCCTGCTTTTCTGCAGCAGCCAAGCGCTGCTCATTTTCTGCTATTTCAATTAAACGCTTAGCAGGATGGGTAGGATAAAGGGGAGAGGCACATGAGTAGCATTCTGGCATGTTGCCTTATGCCAACACATTGAGTCACGTCTCCAGAGTAAGAAATCTGATATAAAGATTTAGAGAAGGAGGTCGGGCAGCAGATCTGTGATTGTGGGGCTGAAACAGCAGTGGTTGTCTGTGCCCTGGGAGCTCACAGAGGTCAGCTGGGGATAGGGGTTCCTGCAGTTGCAGGAGGTACATACCCTCCTAGAAACTATCTGTCTCATTGCTTAAAGATGTTGGTTTTCTTGCTTCAGCAGCTCTGCACAAACACCACACCATCCCATGAGCTGCTCCAGAACACTTCTTTTTCCTCTGTGGTCACACATGCATATTTCTGGGGAAAATACGCACTCTAACACCTTCCTCCCAGAAAGAGCATTTGGGCTATGGGTTGCTGCCTCAGCTTCTGGATGGCCCTGACCTCCTCTTCTCCAAAGCCTGAGGCTCATCCAGCTGCCCTCCAGGGACTCATTAGCAGATGAGCACCCGATTTTGAAAGAGAATCTGCAAGGTGGATGTTTCCTCAATGACCGTTCTTCATTAACATTGAAAATTATTCCGAGGTCCATCCAGATTTGCTCAAAACAGCAGGCAGGAGCAGGACTGGGTGACCACCTGGTGTTGTCCTCTTAGCCAGATCTTTAACACACGCTTTGTGAGACCATGTTTAGTTTGCAGGTACATACAAGCTGATGGGGAAGCTGCCAGCTGCTACGTGCCTCATAGAATAGGAACTGACCTTCTCAGGGAAGTCTGTCCAGCATCCAGCAAGTCTTTCCTGTTACTGAACTCCTGCTGGGGTTGAAGCCACGATGTGCTGAGTACAGCCTTGTCTTTCAAACAACGTGTCCTTCCAGGTGGCACTTGGCCCAGAGGAGCTGCCACAGCACTGTAACCAGAGAGTGCTGCAATGTCCTGGAAAGAGCCTGCTCTTGTTCACCCACACACGTGTTTGGGAAGAACCAAGGATATGCCAGTCCTTATGGAGGGGGAAAAGCACTTTATCCTCTCTTGTTTTTGGTCTAGAAATTCACACTGTTTCTCTGGTCTCCACATGCTGGCGCTCCCATGCTCTGAATGCTGCAGAGGTCTCCTTCCTTGAGGGTTTGCAGCACTGGAGGAGGGTGTAAGAGATGCTGGGGCTGAGTGCAAGATCATTGCTGCAGAATGGTCCCCAGGGGCTATTAGTCAGTAATTCAGGGTATGGGCAGCCACAGACTGGGGGCAGGCAAGGAGCCCAGCATCCCTCAGGCTTCACCTGCTTGGTCTGTGGCACACAGGGAGCAATACAGTTGGCTTGGGATTTGCCTCTGTGCCTCAGTTTCCCCTGTTGGAATATGAGAGGAATTACTGTGCAGGTTCTATGCTCTAAAAGAACACAGGTGTTTCAAAGAAGAGAGCTAGGAAATATAATTCCACTCTGAAATTGGGCTTCTTTCCAGCCAGGAAGAGAAACCAACCTTTGGGCAGCCCTCCAGTACATCATGGATACAGCTCCAGGGCCAGCCTGGGCCTCAGCCATCCACACCACACGAGGGCCTTGCAAACACACACACACAACATGCCAGGGGTCAGTGGAGTTTACACAGCACAACCTGACTGACATCAGAAGGTGTCTCCAGGATGATGCAATCTCTCATTGCTTTCTTGCCTTTCACACCTGGGGCAGTGCACCCTTCTCTTTGCTTTCCCTGTCCAGTCTGCACTTTTGGGGCAATTCTTTAAGGCGTGAACTCAGAGAATGGCTCTGCCAAGGACAGATACACATGGCTATCTATGGCTGCATGCTCCAGCTCCTGGAGTCTCTTTGATACTTTATGGACTAACTGCCTGTAACACAATGGAAAGCACAGCAACAACAGCATAGTAGCAAAGTCCTAGGCTGCAGCAAGCAAGGTTCTGCTCAAACAAGGCAGCCATGGACACAGAAACAAAGGAAAGAATCTGCTTACCTTTAGAAGGCCTCAGGTACACTGTAACATCCAGCAAGATACCCTCATCTCCACTGCCAGCCCTTAAATGAGATCTGGGAAGGGGTGGATCCTGGCTCCAGCCCTTCTGGTCATTCAGGTATACTGCATACACCTGAGCTCCCCTGGGGTTGGCCCTGCCTTCCCACCAGGTGCTCCATCATAGGTTCAAGCTGTGACAGCATTTCTACCATGCACCCAGACAGGATTTGATTTATGCCCTACAAAGCTGCCTTACTGGATCTTTGTTATTGGGCATGGAATGAAGCAGAATACACAAAGAGTCCCATGAGTGGTGGGGATATTGCATCCAGTGCTGCCATCATCCAAAAATCCCAGCACAGACACAGGTGCTGCTATCTGACAGCTCACACAGCACCGGCGCCATGCACCACTGCCATTCTGCCCATCTTCAGTGTGATTTGTGCCTCAGACCCAGCTAAGGCCCAGAACCATGGGGTCTCCCGTGGACAGGATTTCCCCCAAGCTATGAGGTGCTGCCCTCTCTTGCACCACTCACCCCCACTTTCTCCACCAGCTTCATCCCCGCTGCAGACCATCTGAGAAAGCCCCGATCCCAGAGGCAGGAGGACACAGATCTACAGATCTCTGCTCCCTGCCTGCCTGAGGCGGGATGCGCCCAGGTCCGACCTGCACGGATGAATCAGAAGGGGAATATTCCGAGCATTTCTGTGAACCTGCGGCCAGCAGAGCGCTGCCAAGGAGGCCAGGCTGAAACCCGAGGCGGCTGTTTTTTTCCCCGAGGCTCAGCACTTGGCAGGAGTGCAGTGCAGTGATGGCGGGGGGTGGGGAGCACCCTGGGGCTGCCTTACCTGCCTGCCTCTGAGGGTCCATCCCTGGTTCTCCTTGTCCCACAGCAGGAGGGGTGCCAAGAGGAGGCTGGGCTCATTGCCAGCTTCTACATGCAGCTCATCCCTTCGTCAACCCATCTCCTTCTGCAAGGCAGAACGGCAGGCTGACTTTCTCCTTGCGTTGCTTTGACAAATGAGGGAACGCTGTGGGGTGTCACGCTGTGGCAGTGCTTATGCCCTCCCACCCCCCAGGCCTTTCCTCCTTTATAGCCCGGCGTTATCTCAAGGTCCCCGTGCTGTTTGCCTTGCCTCGCAGCACCTGCCTGCCAGCCGTGTGCTTCCCACCCACCTCCCTCTTTGCTTCCCATCAGCCTTGCTGCTGGGCGCTGCACTGAACGTAGGGTTGCCCACAGTGCCCTGTTGCTGCTGGGTGCATGGCAGTGCCACCGTGCCGTGCTGCTCCCACAGCCCCTCTGGCCACAGGGAGCGTGAAGGCTTCATCCAACACTCAGATGCTGTTAAAAATAGAATCGGTTGTGGGCTGGTTTTCTCCTCCTTGGTTCCTGGCCCAGGAGCTCATTCTTCCCTCTGCGCTGGCTTTGAAGCACTCTGGGTGCTGTGCCAGCCTGCCATTGCAGGAGAGCAACCTGCAGAAATGCTATAGGTGGCACAGCTGTCTCCAAAACGTATAGTGGTTGGGCAGTGCTGTCTTCTAAAAAAAAAAAAAAAAATAGCATGTGTTGCACTGAAAAGATTCTGCTAGGTAAGTGGTGAAACACAGCCAAGCTGGGAGGGGGCTTTGGCTTCACCTGAGTGTGAGGAACAGAGTTCGGCCAAGTTGAAGGTCTTGCACATAACACTGATATTCTGAATCCTCTTGTAGCCCTTTTCTATCCTTTCAACTTCTTCAATATCATTTTTCAGGTGTGAACACCAGAGAGTACGTTAGGACACAGCTGTGCAACCTATTATCAGCATCCCCGCTGTCAAAAACATCAGGTTCAGGGCTGTGCATAATCGCTCAGCAATTAAGTGGAAACCCTGGTGATGAATTACAACCGAGACCTCACGGGGCTAAACAAATAGCAGCCAATAACTACTGATAAAGCAAATTTCCAGTGTGCTTTTTGAAAAAGCCCCACCCCCCTGCCTGCTCCCTGTCTCTGGGGGAAGCGGCTCTATCTGTGCTATTCCCTGTTCCCATTGGCTTTCCCACTTGGGGATGGGGCTCCTGGGTGCCCCACTGATCCAGGGTATCCCGCCAGTGCCCAAGCAGTGCCTTTACTCTTTTTGCTGCCATTATTTGGCAGCCTGCAGCGTTTGCCACTTCTTTCAGTGGGCTCTGACCTGGGCTGGCACTTAACCCTAACCCGAAAGCCAAAGCAAGAAATGGGCAGGTGGGGAGGCATGCACAACTGGAGGTTTCAGATAGCTGGTCAAAATCTCCATCCCTCAGTTATCCCACCTCAAATGCACCATCCACCACCCTGCAAACAGGTCACCACCTGCGCATGAGAAGGTTTCTGCTTTCTGCTTTCCCAAAAGCAATCTACAGTCGTGGAGCTTTTTGGAGAAAATGACTTTTTCCAGTGGCTCTGAGACACTTCTGAGTGGGTTTTTGCCCTCTGCTGGCATTGAATTTTGGGGCGTCTGTTCCCAGCACAGAGCTCCCCGCGTCCCCTGGCTGCGCAGCGAGCGCTTGGCGGAACATCCCAGACGCATGGTTTGCAAGTGAAAATAAGGCTTGTCTGGTGGCCAGCTCCACCCAGAGCAGAAAATCAGAGCTTTTCACTTGGCAGATTTTCGCTGCTGTAATGAAATGTAGCTGTGCTGAAGAGTCCCTGCACGGTGAGCATGGGGACGGGGCTGGCAGAGCTGGGGCACTGTCTGGGTATGTTGGCGGTGCCCGGGCACCCACTGAGTGCCATCAGGGGCTGAATACTGACAGCACATCTCCTCCTCTTGTAGTGAGTGCCCAGCTCTGCTCCCACAGCAACGATGAAACTCCTGCCGCTTGCTGCGTTCCTCCTGCTCGTCTTGACGGCGCTGGAAGCCAGACCAAAGCCTTCAGGTGAGCTGTGGTGGCTGGGAATTGCCAGTGCAGAGAGGAGTGTGTGTGTAAGGGCAATGAGACCCCCTCGGAGGAAGGCTTGGTGGGACACCGTGCTCTCTGGGGTATCCCCAGAAGGATGCAGGGTTCCACCTGCAGCATGAAGACGGGGATGTGGTGGGGGATAAAGCAAGTCTGGGGTCAGCAGCCTCCATCCTCCCTGGGCAGAGGTGGCCAAATCAGTTTCAGTTTCAAAAGCAGCACCACAGAGAGAGAGAGGAGTATGTCTCAAGGACCTCTGGGCACGGGGGAGCAGCAGAGCTTACAGCCGTGGGCTGGGCATCATCCCAATGGGACGCGCAGTGTTTGCTCACCATTACGGCCAAATTCTCCCAGGCTCAGCTACTCACTAGCCAAGCCAAATATGTTCATTGGCTTTTTGCTCGCTAAACACTCTCGGTTTGCACTGGAAGTTGCACCCATATATCCAAGAGAGGCTCTTTGGCTTAATGCTCTCAATGTGCATGCCTGTAGCAGAGCTTTTCACTGTCTTATTCTTTTCCCTTAAAAAAAAAAAAAAAAAGAGAAGTCCTGTATTTGGGCAGGAACTGGCAAAGTGCAGTAAAAAAACAGAAACTGTGGGAGGCTGGCGCTGCAGGAGGAACAGAAGAATTGCTGCAGAGGTGAAAACACCATTGCCTAAACCTGTGTCTAAGCCTTGTCAGGGTAGATCCAGACAGAGAGTTGCTTCTGCAGAAGCAGGGCAGCAGAAGCACTTGGGGACGAGGAGATGCTGCCATTCCCCATGGAGATGGTGTCACAGCATGTGTCCTTTCCTGTTGTCCCCAGTCCCACTCTAGCAGGCACCCAGCATAGGTTTATTTGGCAGTGGGAAGGTGCTGAGATGCCCAGACCTGCCCTTTCCATCCTCTATAAGGAGGATAAGCCAAATGGGATGCCTCAGATTCTTGCAGACAACCACAAGGCTAATCCATCTCCTTGCCCTTCACAGCCCTGAAGTGCAGGACGGGTCCCCTGGACATTGTCTTTGTGATCGACAGCTCCCGCAGTGTGCGTCCCTTTGAGTTTGAGACCATGCGGCGCTTCATGATCGACATCATTGGCAACCTGGACGTGGGTCCCAACGCCACGCGGGTTGGGGTGATCCAATACTCCAGCCAGGTGCAGAACATCTTCTCCCTCAAGACCTTCTTCACGCGGGCAGAGATGGAGAGAGCCATCAACGGCATCGTACCGCTGGCCCAGGGCACCATGACGGGGTTGGCCATCCAGTACGCCATGAACGTGGCCTTCACCGTGCAGGAGGGCGCACGCCCACCCCACAAGAAAATCCCCCGCATCGCCATCATCGTGACGGATGGACGGCCCCAGGACCGCGTCTCTGAGGTGGCCGCCCATGCACGGAACGCCGGCATTGAGATCTACGCCGTGGGCATCCAGCGGGCTGACATGAACTCGCTGCGGGCCATGGCCTCACCACCACTGGAGGAGCACGTCTTCCTGGTGGAGTCCTTCGAGCTGATCCAGCAGTTTGGGAAGCAGTTCCAGGACAAGCTGTGCGGTGGGTGAGATCCACAGCTGTGGCCCTCTTGCCTGCTCCTTGCCAGGCTGGAAGGTGGCATCGTGCAGCCTCATCCAGCAGCTGTCCACTGGGACACCTTCCCTGTGCTGCAGTGGGATTAAAAGCTTTAAAAGTATTGCAGGCACATTCTTGTCTTTGCCCGTTCCTGGTAGCTCTGCGGTGAGCCAGGATGTAACGGCAACAGTGATGGCAATATGAGCTAGGAAGAAATGTGGAACTGATTTCCCCAGGTATCTGGGGGTAGGTGATGTCTACCAGAGCCCCATCTGCATTTTGACATGCCTTTAGTAGTGGCTGGCAGCAGGGAGGCTGCTTGTGCCTTGGTTTGTGTTATGAGCAGGGCTAACCAGGTATAGGCATGGGGGTGAGAGTGTGCTCTGCAGCACCCTGTCTTTGCTGGCAGCACATTGCCCATTGCCTCCTGGCCCCAGTGCCCATATCCCAGCCGGATCAGCAGGCTCCTGCTCACAGGGATGTGCAGATATAGCTGCCTGGGCTTCTCTACATCAATGAACAGCATGTTCCAGCTGAGCTCAAGTTTTCATTTAGCTCCAGCTATCAACACTTAATTAATATTGAGCGCTGATTTAGTGCGCAGGTAGACCTGAAAGCTGAGGCCATTCAGAACCCTGTGCAGAATGTGGAGGTGCCTGTGTACGTGTGCTGGCAATCAGCCCTATGGGTCTCTCTGCAGGGCAGTGTAGGTGGAGAGCACCTCGGGGGCTGCTCTGATGCCCTCTCTGCCTTTCAGGGGTAGACATGTGCATGGAACGGGACCACGGATGCCAGCACAGCTGTGTGAGCACCCCCAGCTCCTTCTACTGTGAATGCCACCCTGGCTACCAGCTCAACGTGGATGGAAAGACCTGTTCCCGTAAAAACCCTTTCTAACTCTATCTCTAGCAGTTGCATGTCTCTTGGAGGGGAGAGCAGGAAGAGGCCCAATAAGGCCAGCAGCAGCTGGGTGCTCCTGGTGCAGGGAGGGCAGGGTGGTGTCAGCTGCATTCTGAGGCTTTCCTTTCCTGTCTCTCGGGGGGCACTGAGGCCGAGAGGTGACAGCATTTGCTTCCCCGCAGCCATCGACGCATGTGCTGATGGCAGGCATGGCTGTGAGCACCACTGCATCAGCACCCGGGGGACGTACTCATGCCGCTGCCGCACCGGGTATCATCTCAACCAGGACAAGAGGAGCTGCACAAGTAAGGTCATCTCCCTCCCCGCTCCTTCCCTTCGTTTTCCCACTGCTCCTTGCTCAGAAGAGTCTCTCAGTCTCTCACTGGGCTTCCTTTCAGGTTGGATATTAGGAAAAACTTCTTCTCAGAATGAGCAGTGAGGTGTTGGCACAGGTTTTCAAGAAAAAGAGAAATGTGGCACTGAGGGACATGGTCCAGAGCAGTGGGACGGGGGCTGATGTTTGGGTTAGCTGATCTCAATGGTCTTTCATCCTTAACAATTCTGTGATTCTCTGATCCCTTCCCTCCCCAGTGATTGATTACTGCAGCTTTGGCAACCACAGCTGCCAGCACGACTGTGTGAGCATCCCTGCCGGGCACCGCTGCCGCTGCCGCGATGGCTTCATGCTGCAGCACGACGGCAAGTCCTGCCGCGGTGAGTCCAGCACAGGGCCGCAGGAGGCAGCTGCCATGGCTGTGTCCCCATCTGCATGGTGGTAACCACCTCTCCATGCCTTGTGTCCCAGCCATTGACCTCTGCAACGGGGTGGATCACGGCTGCGAGTTCAAGTGTGTGAGCAGTGAAGGTTCGTTCCATTGCGTGTGCCCTGAGGGCCAGCAGCTCCATGCTGATGGGAAGACATGCAACAGTGAGTACTGGGCTTCACACCGTGAGGGCTTGCCCAAAACTAGCCCACTGTGAGGGGATCTGCATGGGTGGATGAGGGCTTGTGTCCTCAGAGGAAGAGCCAACAGGGTTTTGGGAAAAGGTTGAGGACACTGCAGGTGGCTGTGCTGCCATTCAACAAGACCTGGGCAGATTGGTGAGTTGGGCGGGCAGGAACAGGATGAGGTATAGCAAGAGCAAGCGTAGGGTCCTGCATCTGGGCAGGAATAACTGCACACATCAGTACAGGTTAAAGGCAGACCTGCTGCAAAGGAGCTGTGAGGAGAAGGCCTTGGATTTCCTGTGGCCAACAGGGTGGCTATGAGCCAGCAATGTGCCCTTCTGGCCAAGAAGGCCAGTGGTACCCTGAGATGCATTGAAATGAGTGCAGCCAGTAGGGTGAGGGAGGTGATCTTCCCCTCTACTCTGCCCTGGGACACTTCCAGGCCTCACCCCAGTCCATGTGGGATCCTGCACATCCCCTCTCACCATCCCATATCTATGCAGAGTGTGGGGCCGGGCACGTTGACCTAGTGATGGTGATCGATGGCTCCAAGAGTGTCCGGCCCCACAACTTTGAGCTGGTGAAGCAGTTTGTGAACCGCATTGTGGATCTACTGGAAGTGTCCCCTGATGGCACACGTGTGGGGCTGGTGCAGTACTCCAGCCGTGTCCGCACTGAGTTCCCCCTCAACAAGTACCACAGTGCAGAGGAGATCAAGGAGGCGGTGATGAAGATGGAGTACATGGAGAAGGGCACCATGACAGGCTTGGCCCTCAAGCACATGGTAGAGCACAGCTTCTCTGAACTGGAAGGGGCCAGGCCACTCTCCTACAACGTGCCCAGGATCGGGCTCGTCTTCACAGATGGACGCTCCCAGGATGACATCTCAGAGTGGGCACAGAGAGCTAAAGAGTCAGGTGAGGAGTCCAACCCACAGAGCTTCAGGCATCCAAGTTTGGTTCCTTGGGTGGTTGGCTCCTGGGAGGTGGGTTTTTGCTGCCCCAATGCCTGCCTTGCTCAGTCTTGCTTGCTCCAGGATTGCTTGATGCTGGGCAGCAGGCTCAGAGCTGAGGATCTACCCTTGCCCTGCAGGTATTGTCATGTTTGCTGTGGGTGTCGGCAAGGCAGTGGAAGAGGAACTGAGAGCCATCGCCTCTGAGCCGGTGGAGCAGCACTTCTCCTACTCGGCAGACTTCACCACCATGACCAACCTCGTGGAGAACTTCAAGCTGAACATCTGCCCAGGTGGGTATCCCAGCCAGCAGCCTGCCTCTCCCCACAGAGCCCATCAGCCCGTGGCACATTCATCGGGATGATGCTGGTAGGGACAGTCAGAGGCACCGACCCAAGCTGGGAGCTTCCCCAGGGCCAAGATAGCTGGTATAACGCCCCACCGATCCATCCCTCTGTTGTAAATAGTGAAGTGGGGCTCAGGGAGGGATTTGGAAGGGAAGATGGAGATGGGGTTAATGCAAAAGGACTGCAAGGATAAGGGGCTTATGTCGGGGAGGATGTGAGCAGGGCCTGCTGCGCGTGTTCTGAGCATCCCCAAATCCCTCCAACACAGAGGAGGGCAGAGGGGAGACGGAGATCCGCAGCCCATGTGAGTGCGAGGCGCTGGTGCAGTTCCAGACAAACACCGTGGCCATCCTGCAGAGCTTGACTGAGAGAAATATCCTTTGAGTGCTGCATGGGCTCAGTGGGGAGGGGGGAGAGGGGGGACTGCATCCAAATCCAAGCTGAAAGAGGCACGGGTGCCAGCATCAAGGATGGGCTCCATCCTGGGAGCTCAGTCCCTTCTGAGTTCTCCAAGGTGAGGGGCTGGCAGGTGCAGGTAAGGCTCACTTTGTGCTTGCTTTGGGCGCATCTCTCGCTCTTTGCTCAGCTCCCAGTTTTCTTAGCACGCACACTTGCTCAGATGACAGCCAGACTGGAAGCCCTGGAGAAGCAGATTGCCCTCAAGAAGTGATCCTTGCAGCAGGTCACAGGGCTCAGAGGGGACCTACAGTAGCTACGTGGCATTGTTATTGATAGATTATGTAAAGCATCATTGCTTGTTCTTTATCACAAAATCCCAAGGGGATGTGGAGTGTATGAAAAAAAAAAAAATCTTTAAAAAAAAGGGGGAAAAAGAACTCGAGCAGAAGCCCTACTGCGAAGCAAATGGGTTCAGCCCTCGTTGTTGCCTCGTCCCTCCAGCCTGGCTGGTCTGGGGCAAGGTGGGCAAGGTTTGGAAGAGGAGTCGTGACACAGCTCCTGATGCAGCTGGGATGGGCAGCAGCCCCTGCACCGTTCCCTGCGCTGCTTTGCATGAGGAAACCCAGCAGTGGCAGCACCCAGAGAGCTGCTGCGGGCAGGATGAGGCTGTGCAGCAGGACTGCATGTGGGCTGAGTGCTCCCCGACCCCACAGCCGTGGGGGTGCAGCCCATGGGAGAGCAGGCAGCAGGATCCCCTCATCCCTGTTTTGGCAGAATTCTTCTAGAATCGATCATTATCTTCTTTTATTGGGTTGGGGTTTTTTTTAATCACGTAGCAAAATGGTAATAATTCTCCCTATAAATATCTACATGTGTGTGTATATATATATTTTATTGTGAGAGCAGGGTAGTGCTATTTTTAAACCCTTATTTTATATATGGAAATTTCTATCCTGACAATAAACACCCTGGAGATTTGTAGGACACGTCTTGCTCCTTTTTGCTGGGCTGCAGGGCCCTACAATTCCCTCTGCCTCTGCACCTCCTCTGGGAAGATCCTTGCTCCTACGAGCATCACTCAGGCTGGACCCCCACTGAGGACAAGGATGGGTGTCGCTGAGCCGGAGGTTTGATCATAATGCCACGCACCGCCGAGCTGATGGGAGCAGCTCCCTGAGGAAAGAAGCAGTAACCCCCTGCGCTGGGATGTGGGGGACAGCAGGGCAGAGCAAAGCCCCGTTAGGGCAGCGGCTGGGCAGTGCCGCACAGCACCAATAGCGGCATCACTAGATGGCACCAGACACCGGCGCTGCCGAGGGATGCGGGATGGGGCGTCCTTTCTCATGGGCACCTGTGAGCTGGGGGGGGGGGGGATGGAGCTCCAGCCGGAAAGCACCGCATCGCCCTAAGAAGCGGACAGGCTGCAGGGCGAAGCTACCCCCTGAGGGGCTTTGTGCATCCTCGTACAGCCGGGACGTCACCTCCACGCCCAGAGCCTGGAGCGAATGGGGAGTGCAGCACTGCCCTCTCCCCCCCAGCGGCTGCCAGACTCCCAAAGATGGTTTCAAAAGTGATGAAGGGCTTGTATCTCTCATTAAAAGCACTAAATTAGCGGTGCACGTCCCAGAACGCCTGTTTGGGTTGGCTGACTCCTTCCCGCTTGTTTAACAAATGACTTTACAAAGAGCTGAATGTAACCACAGAGTCATTAGGGGAAGCGGGTAATAATTAACAGATACCCAGACAGTTCTAGAGCAGTCCCTGTGGCACATGGAGACACAATAGATGGGAAGTCGGAGTGGGAAGAGGGCGCAATGAGACACCCACAGGGTGAAGGCTGGGCAGGGGGCACAGGGGGACGGTGCCCTCTTTTTCCTGGGCTTTGCCCAGAGCATTGCAAAACCCAGGGCTGCCCCAGGCTGCGTTTGTGGGAACACAGCTGGCTGAGAGCTGTGTGCTTGGCTATGGGGGGAACGGGAGGAGGGGGGCACCCCCCTGACTATTCACTGTGCCCACTTCCAGCACAGCTGGGTTCTGAACGCTGCAAGAATCCCAAGGAAAAGCTTCGGGAACCATTGCACAAGGTAAGAGGGACGTTACTCAATTTCCTACCAGAGTCAATTTCCCATTGCCCAAGAGCACCCAAAGAAAACAGCTGTGCTTGGAGCAAGGGTGCAACCTCCTCACGCAGGAGAGATATTGTCTGTCCCCAATAAAGCCCCAGGAGGGAGCTCAGCAGGTCACCATCATGTCTTAACCTGGAGAATGGTGTGAGTGCAGCAGGGCACCCCACCACTGCCCAGGGGCTGCTCAGGGGCTGTTCCCCCAACCCCCGCTCAGGTGCAGCCTCATAGCACAGTTGTGCAATGCAGCAGCTTTGCTTTTTGAGCAATTGAACAATCAGTGTGTGTCTTATGCAAAAGGCTTCCAGAAAACATAATGCAACAGCAGAGGAAAAAGGCACAAACACACCCTCCCAGCTTCCCCCCACCCCATCCTGTCCCCAAGCACTTAAATGCCGCTGCCCCCAGCAAGATACGCTCGCACCTCTCAGGAGAAACAGCAGCATGAAAACTGTGCCTGCCCTCCTGCTCGTGGGGATGCTCATCCTCTGGGCTGAGCTGCCATCAGGTACGATATGCCCAGGGGCAGGGGACTGATTGCAGCAGCAAGCCATCCCTGCTTTGCTGCAGGGGTTGCTGCAAAAGAGCAGCTCCTCCTAGTGCTTAAGGAGGAGTGGGTAGCAACTACATCACCTGCATCATCAAGGGGAAAATGTCCCCTTGGAGCCCTCCCCGGGGTGTCTCAGCTGCAGCAAACCTCCCTGTGCTCCTGCAGGCACTGCCTGGTCCTGCCCTGAGGTCCACATCACCTGTGCCATGGTCAACCCGAGGAACGACTGCTACAGCGACCGGCAGTGCCCGCGTGGCAAGAAGTGCTGCAAGACCTTCTGTGGGCGGCGATGCATCTCGCGCATCAACCTGACCTACGGTACTGTCACCTCCACGGCCACCTCGGGGCGCTGGGGCTGCGATGGCTGTGGCTCTGGGCAGGGAGCTCGGGCTGTTGGGGTAAGCCAGCATTATCTCTTTGCTCTCTCTCCCTTTCCCCAGTGTGAGCTGCTGCTCCCAGCATAGCCAGAGAGTGCCTGTGTCCCCGTGCCATCTCCAGCCCCATGCACCTGCAGAAGGACCAGCTCGCAGGGGACAGGGACAGCTTCGTGCTCGCACTCTGAGATCTTCTCTGCTGCTATGTGCCATCTTCTCACCCTCTTCCATCCTTATCCGCTGCTGTTACAACAAATAAAAGCTTGTCCCAGGAGCACCGGTGTGCAGTTCCCTTCTTCCCCTCTCTGCCTCTCGTGGCCCATACCAGCACACGTCCCCAGGTGCACCAGAGCTGTGGGATGAGGAGTGGGACCAGTGCTCTGGGATGGGGGTGCAGCACCCAGCAAATGGCAGGGGCACCCCCCCACTGCACAGTGCTGGTGGAGGATACAAACACCAGATGACGAGCTCACCAACTAAACTCAGGTGGGAAATAGATCATCACTCACCCCCAGTATTGAGTCCTCCCATGGAGATGCCCCCTTGCACCAAATGTACCCTGGATTGGGAAGCACCGTGTCCTGCATGCTATGGGGCACAGCACAGAGCCCCAGTGCTACACCCAGGCTGGCACAGTGACACAAACAGGCCAGCGTGATGGCACACGTGATGGCATGTCCCATTAGTCACAGTTCCCAGCTCCCTTCCTCCAGCAGCACCAGCTATTATCAGCTATTAAGCAGGCATTTCCATACAGCTGGCTAATTTGATAACGCTGCAATTATCCTGGTTTGTTAACAAGATTAAATCGCTAATTAGTTTGATTAAGCGCAGCACTCCAGGCGTGGGGTGCCTCCAGCTGCCCATCCTGTGGCGACAGAGGAAAGGTGACAGCACAGGAGTGCTTAATTCCCCTGCAAGCTGCCCTCTGGAACATGCAGGCCTTGGTGTGTGTGTCTGTGAGAGCCCTTCCTCCAGCCTTTGTCACCGCTGTGACCCGGCTGGGCAGCAGCAGGTGGTGATGGTGGCCTGAGGAGGGGCTGAGGAGCACTGTGTGGGCTGTAGGACCTCCGATTGGGGTCTGAACACAGAGCAGGTTTGGTGCTCTGCAGTTACATGAGATCTTTCCAAAGAATGATTCTGACCCATCTGAGAGGAGCAGCTTTGCGAGGGAAGGAGGTTTAACAGCCATAGTCCCACAGGATGCAGCTGCCGCATGGAACCCAAGGAAGGAAATCCCTAGGCTGAGAGGACTGTCTGCTATGTGTGGAGAGCAGCTGGGGATGGGCAAGAATGAATCAGTGCCACCCCAGTCCCTGCATATAATAAATACAGCTCTGCAGAGAAATAAAGCATCCTCCCTGCTGAAGGCCGACCCATGCACATGCTCTCCCTGCGCTGCCTCTCACAAAATGAGTGCCCCATTTGAGGTTCAGGAAGGGATGAGCCCAATGCTGAAGCTGGTCTGCGGGCAGTGCTGTCCACCGAGCGAGGTGAGGAGGTTCCCCCATAGCAGAGCACAGCTCCTGTCAGCACCAGCACAGGGATTCCCACAGCCCTGCCCGTGCCAAGGCACACGCAGCTGCTCCTTCCCCTGACGGCTATGTAGGTTAATGGCATGCAATGTGATTGCGAGACACAGGAAACCGCAAAGCTCTGTCAATATTTAGCTTTTGCACATTTGGCTAATTAGGAAGCAACCTGTGATTCCCTCCGAAGGAGGAGCGGCTGCTCCACTCACCCCCATCGCTCTGAGCGCTCCCACTCCGCATGGGATGGACGTCACCTCCTTATTTCTGGAGTTCTCTGCGGTCCCGAACCGCAGTGCCCAGGCTCTGGATGTCAGAAATCATTACACTAAATACAGCTTCATGCATGATTCATGAGGCATGGCTCCATGTCCATCAGGGCGAAAGCAGAGCGTGGTCCCAACACACACAGAGCCCACATGGGCAGACACCAAACGCAGGCAATGGGCCGATGCCTGCTGGTACCTTTCTGCTTTGGGAGCTGCTGCGACTCACGTTGCTAATGAGCGTGGGCAGCTGGCACAGCAGCCGGGAGCAGCCCCAGAGATGCAGTGAGCACAGCCAGCTCAGGGCTGACGGAGCCATCTCCTGGCTCAGTACAGCCTCTGAAAGTAGAGGAATGGTTCTTCTGAAATGCCATCAGGAGGATCCTTCCAGCTGCAGAGTGAGAGGCACGGATGCCACGCTGCAGCAGCAGGGATCATCCTGGGTCACAACATTTCTACCATCACTCCACACCTCTGGAGATCAGGGAGATGCATCACCTCTTTGTGCCTGGATCTGGCAGTGAACGCAGTCCCTGGGCTGCGAAAGACAAGCAACAAGTGAAGGCTGCCCTCGGTGTGGTGATGGTGATGGAAGCAAGAGATGGAGCAGCACAGTGCAGGGATGTGTCCTGGTGCAGCACCAGGTGCAGAGATGCTGGAAGGTGAAGTTGGAGGTGGCGAGCATCCTCCAGGTGTATTGAAGACAGTAAATCCCTTTTAATTAAAGCAGCTCTGCTAACACACTGTACCCATTTATTTTTCCCCCCTATATTTTAATTTCTTGCTACATCAGCTATTAAATAACAACAACAAAAAAAAAAAAAGAGCAGGAGGAAGAAAGGAGCAGAGCTGACATGGGATGAGTCACTGCAGCACGGAGATGGCTGCTGGCTCCACTCACTGTGCAGCACAGAGCGTGGCACATGGCTGCGTCCCTTGGCCCCGCGTGGAGCATCGCCGAATGGTTATGGACAACCCCCCCCGGCAGCAGCAGGAGGAGGGCCACCTTTGAGAGAGGCAGGAGGGGAGACGTGAAGGAGGGGATGGCGTTTCCAGCTGACCTGATTTCTTCACGTTTCCCTGCGCACATCACTGTGAGTTAGTTCAGGAGCAATGCTGGTCGCTGGGGCCGTGGGAGCTGCATCCCGTGGCGTGGTCACACTGATGGCGCTGTGAGCACGGCCCTGTGCTGGGGAACAGCCTGGAAACGGGAGTCCTTCCATCCCACCCCAGCTTCTGGGTGTTAGAAGGAGGTTGGAGCTGGCTGATGGGAGAACCGGTCCTTCTGCAGCAGGGTTTGTGCAATAGAGGACAGTGCACCTGCCCCTTGTGCTGCAGCAAAGCTGGAGGGATGGCAGCGATGCCAGAACCAAACCAGGAGAGGTCGGGAGGTGAGCAGTCCCAGGCTGGGAGCAGAGTGCAGGGGCGTGCAGGGCTGCCCAATGCCTTTTCCCTGCTGCTGGCACAGCCATACAGGGAGACAGGTCTGGGTCTTCCCAGTGGCACAGCACAAATAGGGCTGTGGAGGAGCATTGGCAGTACGTGTAGGCTGTCCAGAGTGTGTGCTGAGCACGTCTCACAGTGAGCCCACAGCTTCCCGAAGGCAGTGCTCTCTCCCAGAAGAACAGAAGGGGAAAACCAATTCCCCCTGGTGGCAGAGCAGATGCATGGGAATGGCGTTCCAAAGACTCCACGGCATCACCCCACAGCATCATCCCACAGTATCTCCCTGCAGCCAGGCAGGGAGCAGCGTGCAAGCAGCCAGTGGCGGCGTTCATCTCGCAGCTCAGCCATCCCTAATTGCCATCAAAATGAACGCTTCTTGCTTCGTGTCACAGAACAGAAGAATTTTCCTCACTTGGGTATTTTTTCCGATTTTTTTTTTTTTTTTTTTCCCAGGCGTCCCTCAAAGTCTCCTCTTCCCCCCCTCCCTCCCTCCGTCGCCTCCTTCCCATGTAAACAAGCGCTGGGCGCACACAGCCTGACACATCACGCACATGGCAGCCCGCTGACGGCCCCGCAGCGCTGCCTGGCGCAGGGACGGCGCTGGCACGGCCACGGGAGGCGGGCACACGGCGAGGGGAAGGATGCTCTCCCCACAGAGCAGATCGTGCACGGCTCCGTGCACACCCAGAGAGAGCTGAAGGCCTGCAGAGTGCTGCAAGCTGAAAGGATGGACGCGGTGTGAAGCTTCGCCTTGTGCTGCTCCAACACGGCTGCGATGAGACATGGCCACGCGGCCCCAACCGGCGCCCGGCCGAGGGCTCAGCTCACCGCCCTGCCATCTCCCCGCCCTGCCAGCTGGCTCCTGGGGCAGTTCGGGTGCTCGCCCTGCCGTGCCGGAGTGCCCACAGGTGGCCCAGTGATCTGAGTGCAGCGTGTGCCATGCCCGGGGCTCACCCCGTTTGCCCACCTCCGACACGGAGACAGCGGGGAGCCCAGTGCCAGGGGTGTCTCAGCCTGGGGGGGCAGCCCTGGTGCCCCACACGAGCCTCGTGGCAAGGAGGAGGATGGAGCCGGATGATGTGATGGGATCCCAGGAAGGCCGAGGCTGAACGCCTGCAAGGCGCGGAGGGGCACGCTGATTTGGAGGTCCTTGCCCACCTCAATAGCTTGCTCTGAGCACTTTGAGCAGGTAAGGACATGCGATGGGGTACTTATCCTTGGCTACGGCTCCCATTCTGTCCCGCTGCCAGCCCTGTCCCTGTCCCTGTGCATCTGTCAGGGAGAAACTGCCCGCTCACTCCGGAGCTGTTCCAATTAGCAAGCCGGTTTTGCCAAAAAATCGGGTTCCCCCCGGCGTGCAGAACCAGCTCACGCCCGTCTCCAGCTTTCCTGGGGTACAGGGGGGGAATTCCCCAGAGCCCCCCTCCATCTTTTCCCCCACTCGGAGCACAGCAGCTCGGGCGGGCGGAGCCGGAGGGCGGCACCCCGCTGTAGGGGAAGGACGGGGGGCGGCGGGGCGGCCCCCCCGGCCCCGCGGAGCTGCCGCCGGCCCCGCAGGGCTCCGCAGGGCTCCGCGCCGGGCGCGCACGTTGCGGCGGGGGCGGCACCGAGGGCAGGTGAGAGCGGAGCCGGGCCGGGCTTCGGCTGCGGGTGCGGCATCGCGGGGAGCGGGAGATCGGCAATGCAGGGAGCAGCGGGGACCGGGCAGCAGCATCCCAGGGAGCTGCGGGGTGCGGCACGCCGGGGCTCCGGCATCCCGAGGTGAGCGGGGAAGGGAGCGGTGGGTGAGCGGGGTGTGCCGGCGTCCTCATTCTGGGTTGCTGCTGGGAGCCGGAGATCGGGAATACCTCTCCCGTCCCTCTGCAGGCGGCGGTAGGGGAGCCCCTCACACCGAAGGGCTTTCTCTTCACTTCCCTCCCCCCCAAGAAGCTCAGGGGCCCTGGTTCCACACCCCAGATCTGTGTGCCTGCTGCCCAAAACCAGGGAGCGGAGGGTGGCACAGGGCAGCGCATCGTCTGCAGCAGCGCTGGGCTGCCAGCTCTGAGCAGACACCGGAGCGGTTGGTAGCCCCTCACCCCAGAGAAGGCAGGGAATCCCCCTCCATCTGCCTCCCATCCCTGGGCATTTCGATGGCCTCTCAGCGTGCAGCAGGAGCTCACTCTTTGTGTTTCCCAGCCGAGGGAAAACCCCTTCCATGCTCTCCCCTCCCCGTGTCCCCCAGGCAAACCAGCCAAGGACAGGCGTGCTGCCGAGCATCCTCCACTCAGCAGGCACGGGGATGCTCAGTGACAGTGACAGGTATGGGGCACTTCTCCATGATGGGTAAAGCAGTGCCTCCCCAGTGTTGCCCAAGCTGTCCCCGGTGCTGAGGACAGGATCTCAGCCCCACAGTGCCCCCAGCCCTGCCCCATGGGCACCCCACTGCCAGCACACCTGGGGCAAAGGGGTGCATAGGGCTGGGCTGCAGCTGGGGCTGAAGGTTTTCCTCCACTCTGTGTTCCCAATGGCTCCTCTGAGACACGCCGCTGGGAAGCCGTGCTGAGCGGTGAGTACAGGGCTTTTTATTTGGACTGCTAATCTAAATCCATTGTACCTGTTTGGAAAACCCCCTCGTGCAGTACTCCCTGCGCTCATCACATCCTCCTTTGTAAATCTATGAGCATCTCTCTTCCCGCCCCCCTGGGTCCCCTCTGCCAGTTGGAATACGTGTACAGAACTTCCACTGGAAAGCCTTTCAGAAAAAAAAAAAACCAACACGTTGTCAAGGGAAACTCCTCTAGCATTTCTCACAGATAGACTCAATCTGCTTTTATACTTAATTTTTGCTGTCATAAATGGATGTATTAGAGATATTTCTTCTCTACAAGGTACGTATTCAAGTGAATGCCCCAATTCATGCTGGGCTCATGCAATTCCAATAGTTGCTCCTTAAAACAGCTTACAGTGTATTTCCAAGTGTAGCAGGAAGAAACTGGCTTAATCTGTTCCATCATTTATAGAGACAGCAGCGTAACTAAAAGGGAAATTTGCAAATTCACATTACTCCAGACAGACGCTTTTGTATTCTCTGCCCGTTGTGCCTTTGCAAAGAAACACACCCGACCTTCCCCATCCTTTTGCAGCAGAGAGCCCCACAGACACCATGAGGTGTCGGTGATCCAACAGGGAGATCACGCAGCGCTGGGTCCAAACCCAGCCCTGAGGCTCAGCTCAGCTCCTCACCACTAAGTTAGAGAACTCCTAATTGCTGCCTTAGATTCCTAGATGAAAGCGAGATGTGGGCAGAAATCATTTGCTCTGTGCAGAAACAAACATTGGACAGGAGAATCTCCACTGGAGAACCTCGTGCTGCACCCTCAGCTGCGCTCAGCCCCATCCCACCCCATCGGGGGCCGTTCTTCAGGGCTCTGCTACCTCCTCTCACCTGCTCTGCTCTGAGCTCCACATTCAGTCACAGAGGAGCCCCCAGAGGCCACCCAAAGCAGCAGATGTACTGAGGGAAATGTGGTTGTGGAGACTGAGAGCAAACCTGGCGCCAGGTCTGTGGGGCTGCACTCTGCCAGCTCCACCACCACCCTGCAAACAGCAGCACTTGAGCACATAAGGTGAGTGGCATCTGTTCTCAAGGTGACTTGGATGGCAAGCAGCATTTATCTTCCTGATTTAAACCTCGGGTCAGGATGGGTAAATGTACTTTAGGGTGTGGGGATGCTGCTCTCCATTGGGGATCTGCCTCTCTGTGGCAAATGGCATTGCTGCTGTGCAAAAAAGCAGGGCTCCCCAAAACCTGCAAAATGTCAGAACACTGAAATCAGAACTTCACGTTTTGATCCCTCCCGACAGACAGGTTCTTATTTCAGGGCCATCAGTGATTCTGAGTCACGTCCCTGTTATGTTTCAGCACTATAAAAATAAATGGTAATATTTCACACGGCAGGACAGACACGTACGAACACAGCAGGCAGGTGCATTGTGTTGGCACTTCTGCCGTGGAAATTCCCCACTCGTTTCCCCCCAGCAGCACCAAAGAATGAAGCCCAGAGCCACATCCCACTCCCCACTCCCTGCACCCCCCATCCCACCCCTCTGCATCTCCCCTGCAGGTGGAGGGCTTCCCGCTCTGCCGATCATGGTCAACAAGACCTTAACGTACTGGGGTGCCGCCTTCGAGGAGGACCTTATCAACATCAACGTGGGAGGGCTGCGGCGGCGGCTGAGCCCCAGCGCTCTCTCCAAGTTCCCTGACACGCGCCTGGGCCGCCTGCTGTCCTGTGACTCGGAGGAGTCCATCCTGCAGCTCTGCGATGACTACGATGTGAGCGCACGGGAGTTCTACTTTGACCGCAACCCTGGCTTCTTCCTCTACGTGCTGCACTTCTACCAGACGGGCAAGCTGCACGTGATGGACGAGCTGTGCGTCTTCTCCTTCTGCCAGGAGATCGAGTACTGGGGCATCAACGAGTTCTTCCTGGACTCGTGCTGCAGCTACCGCTACCACGAGCGCAAGCTGGAGGGCCGGCACCACACCTGGGATGAGGAGAGCGAGGTGAGCAGCGTGGACACGTCGCCCGATGAGATCTCAGACATCAACCACGAGCTGCTGCGCTACAGCACGCTGCGCTGCGGCACGGCGCGCAAGCGGCTCTGGCTCACCATGGAGAACCCCGGCTACTCCATCCCCAGCAAGCTGTTCAGTTTTGTGTCCATCAGCGTGGTGCTGGTGTCCATTGCCACCATGTGCATCCACAGCATGCCCGAGTACCAGAGGGTGGACGAGAGCGGCGCCGTGCTCGACGAGCCCGTCCTGCACAAACTGGAGTACTTCTGCATCTCCTGGTTCACCTTCGAGGTGTCCTCCCGCCTCCTGCTCTCCCCCAACCCCAAGAAGTTCTTCAAGCACCCGCTCAACCTCATCGACATCGTCTCGGTGCTGCCCTTCTACTTCACGCTGCTGGTGGACGTGACGGCGGGCAGCGACTCGGAGCTGGGCAACCTGGGTAAAGTGGTGCAGGTCTTCCGGCTGATGCGCATCTTCCGCGTGCTGAAGCTGGCGCGGCACTCCACCGGGCTGCGGTCGCTGGGAGCCACTCTGAAGGTAAGCTGGCCATCTCCCAGCTGTGAGGGAAGGACACTGAGTGAATCCTCCTTCTACACAGAGCCAAGGCTTGCAGAGGGCCGGTGTAGGAGCAGGATGCTGGCACGCTGGAAGGCAGCACTTATGCAGGTCAGGCGAGACAGGGCCCTCATCTCCCATGTCATGCCCTCTTGTGATAAAAGATGAAGCATGAAGGCACTGAGCCCCACACCACCTGTCACTGCACCTCCATCACTGCAGCTCAGGCACCTTGTCTGGTCTCTGCTGTCCCCACTGCCCCTTCCTCATCCATTCCCTCTGAGCTGATATACCAACGGAGGGTGAAGCTGCCCCTTTCCCTCCCTGCACTCACAAAGGAACTCCAGCTAGACAAAGAGGCTAATTAAACCCAGACTTTGATTTTCTCTCCTTCTTGCTGATCACTCCAAGACAAACCCTGAAGCCAGCCCTTGAAGAGGGCCAAGCAGAGCAGCACAGGCTCGAGCTGTGCACGGGGAGCACAGATCAAAAGCAGCCAGCTGGGACTCACAATGGGGCACCAATGGCACAGGGCATTCTGCCACTGGCAGGCATGGGAGCAAGGGCTGGAGCCATGGGGAGAAGCAGCCCCTGAATAGGGCTGGGGAGGAGAATGAGGTCCTTGGGAGCATTGTTTGCAACGCAGATGCCTGCAACATATTTGTATCTGACAACTCACTTTGGAAGAGCAATTAGCAAGTGAAAACCACACATAAAACTGCTTACAGAATTTAAATAAAACTGCACATGTGGGAAAGGCTGAGCCCTCTCTGCACTCCACTTAAGTGCAATGAGGCTGCAGCGGGGCTGTCCAGCCCACCTGCACGTCACCAAGGTGCAGGAGCAGCACTGTTCAGCTCTGCCCACCAACCCCACAGTGATGTGGTGGAGTGCCATTTCTCAGGGACCCCAAGCCAGCTGCAGCCAGGGTGGACACAGACAGAGCTGATGCAGCAGCTTGATGCTGGGACTCACTGGGCACGAAAATGACAACATGGTGTTAATCATAATTTAGTTCTTACTGCATAAAGCAGCAGCAGAGGAACAAAGCCTGCTCACAGCCAGGGAGCGATGGCTCTGGCATGGCGAGGAACTGTTCACTGCCACCAAAGAGCCAGCAGAGGGATTGCTGCCATTTGTGCATAAGCTCTGAGCGGTCTTCAGACCACCTGGGGTTTGATCCAGGGTCTATTGAATTTGACAGGAGCCATCCCCATCCCCCTCCCTGCTGTGCACCAGGTGCAGGGTTGGTGCCACTGGCACTGGGCAGTCTGGGCTCCGGGGAAACACGTGGGTTGTCGTATGTCCCTTTGGTGGCCTGGACATGAAGGTGGCAGAGCTGGAGCTGCACATCTCAGAGGGGATCTGCGTCACCTAGATGGGACATGTGTCACTATGGGCTTGGTCACCATGCTGGTACCTCTGGCTGGGTTCAATCCAGGCTCTTTGCTTCATTTTTCTTCCGCTGCACCATGTGCTTGCAGCAGGGGAAAATAGCCTGCCTTCCCCTCACCTCTGTCCCCCAACACATCCAGGGCCGTAACTGATGCTCTTTAAAGATTCATGGGGTTATGTGGCTGGGGCCTGCAGGCACGCTGCTGAGCTCCAGCCCAGAGCATTTTTCTCAGCAACCTGACATGTCTGTGAAGCTCGGTGCTCTTTGTCCTTCCCTGGGAGCAGCCCCAGAGCTGCTGTGGGGCTTTTGCAAATAACATACCTTTAGAACTCTGATTCCTTTTCCCTAAAAGATGAAGAGCAAGTCAGCAGATAAGCAAGCAAAAAGAGCCAAGAAATCCACTTGTGACACCCAGAAAGGGAGCGAACTGCAGCGCTCCTGCTCTGCCCCAGCCCTGCTCCAGCTTCACTCCCCACATTCCCGGGCTCAAACCTGTGTGCTGCCTCTGGATCCCACCCTGTGCACTCCTACGTCCCACTGCCGCCACCCTGAGTCCCCATCTGCGAGCTCAGATGTTCCCCAGGGCCCCATGGAAATGGGTCCTGGGCCCAGCCCAGGGGATGTTCAGCCCTGCAGGGACGCACCTTTCTTGCCTATAGGCAGGCAGGTGCTGGGTGATGCTACATACAGGATTTGGGACCGCAGAGTGGCAGAACTCAATGCCCTACATGTGTTCATTTTCACTCACTGTACTCTGCTTTGCCTTCCAGCACAGCTACCGGGAGGTGGGGATTCTGCTGCTCTACCTGGCTGTGGGGGTGTCTGTCTTCTCCGGCATAGCCTACACCGCAGAGAAGGAGGAGGATGTTGGCTTTGACACCATCCCAGCATGCTGGTGGTGGGGCACAGTCAGCATGACCACGGTGGGGTACGGTGACGTGGTGCCTGTCACTGTGGCAGGGAAGCTGGCCGCCTCAGGCTGCATCCTGGGCGGCATCCTGGTTGTGGCACTGCCCATCACCATCATCTTCAACAAGTTCTCCCACTTCTACCGCAAGCAAAAGGCACTGGAGGCCGCCGTGAGGAACAGTGAGAAGAAGCAGCCCGAGGAGGTGGAGAGTGAGCAGGACTCAGAGGTGCTGAGCGAGAGCTCCCTGGGGAGGGGCAGCCCCGACCGCCGCAGCCTCACACCCGGTGCCCTCCCCGCTCCCTGAGTCCCGTGCAAAGGACAGGGGGTCCGGGTCGGTGCAGAATGAGCCCAGGAGGAACGGTGGTGCCTGGTGTGGGACCCACTCTGCAGCAGGACTGGTTGGCCATGGCCCTCCTCGCATTGCAGGTGTCCCCATCCCTGTCCATGGGGCTCCCGCATTCCCTCCAGAGGAGCGGCTGCTGCAGATGCTGGCACCCAGCCCACGCAGCACAGAGCCTGCCGAGGGCTGCCGGGGCATGGGGAACACTGCTGGACACAGAGCAGCTGCCTCTGCTGTGTCTGTGTGCCCCTGACTCCTGGTGCAGGAGGAGCTGGGGCTGCAGCCCTTCTGCAGGAGGGAGCAGCCTTGCCGTGACCCCCTGCACGTTCCTGCAGAGGGAACCTTGCACTGCTCCTCACCAGCTCCTGCCTGACCCCTCACAGCCAGGCATTGGGGCACCCCCATCCCATCTGGCTCCCCACCTGGCTGCGCACATCTCAGCACAGCATCAATTCCCTCAGCAACGTGCACCCTGCAGCCACCCGACCAGCCCAGAGCCACGCAGATGGCTTTCAGGGCACGGCGGTGGGTGGGAATGGCTCTGCCACAGGGACTGCTGACTTCGGGGAAGAGATGATGGAGTTGATGCAGACACAGCCCCTCTGCATGGGTGGGAGCAGGGTGTTGGTGCTCACATCCGTGTCTTCCAGCATTATCTGCCCCGGTCCAGCTCCCACTCCACTGTTACTTGAACAAAGGAAGGAATTTCCCCTTCTCTCCATAAATATTCCAGTAGCAAAATGTACTAAAATAGGAAGACTGAATGACATGTAATAACTAAAAAAGCATTATGCAAATCATTAAAAGAGCATGTAATTTAATTTTCTATCTATGCATGGGATGCATATGGTGTATTTTATTAAAAGATGGAAGTGACCCACTTGGGAAGCTGGTTGTCTGTGTCACAGCAGCTCCACCACTGCCCATCAGAGTGAAGGGACCACACGTCCCTGGGGCAGCAGTTTTCCCAAGAGCGTCTGCGCTCTCGCTTGGCACAGTGGGTAAATCAATTAAATGCTGTATTGGGTTATTTCCACATAAATCACCCCCCACACTCAAAAAGTGATTGATGAAGGAGAGACTGAGTTACCTCCAGGGGATGGTGATTAAGGAGTGACCTTATTAAGCTATTCCATGCAGCTGAGAATTGGTCACTGCTGCTTAGGGAAAAGCAAACTTCATTACTCGTTTCAAACTTTTTTCCCTTTGCCAGCTGCCACAGCCCTGGCTGCCCTGACCGTGCTCTGTGCTGGGTATGGGAGATCTTAAGGGTTGGGACCTGGAGGATAGGAGACCCCTCACCACAGCACAAGGGCTGTTCCTGCTGCTCCAACAGCTCTGGGTGGGACTCAGCCTCTATTAAGTTAACAGCAATGAGCTGGCAGGGAGAAGGGCAGGATGCGATTCATAGATGGGATTGAATTGTTTTAAAGTTTTTAAAGAAGTTGGCTGCTTTCCTGGGCTCTTAAATTAAAGGGTAATTAAGTCACTCTCAGTCTGGAAATAGCTGATGGGCGTTTCCTGGTCTGACTATTAAATTTTGCTAGAGTGATTAATGCAATGAGAAATCATCAGCTCTCAAGTCAGGGCTGTCAGCCAACACCAAGAGCATTTATCTGAGCTCCTGCTTGGGCTCCTCTGGCCCACAGACAGAAGGAAAGAGGGCAAAATGAGGGCTATCCATCAGCCACTGTCTGTTAGCCACATGCAATTCGTATCTCTGCATAACGGGCACTGTGCATGGATGAAAGGAGTGCAGGTGAGGACTCCCCTGGGGTGCAGCCCTCCCTTCGTGGAGGTGTTCTGCAGTTTCATGGTGATGCTGCTGAGAGCACATAAGTGCTCCGGGCTTTCCTAGCTACTAGGAATGCCTGCAGCCTCCCTCCTGTTGGATTCCACACTCCTTCCTAACATTTAAAAGCTCACATCTATTTTATTTCTTCCGGCATTGCTAACACAAGCTGCCTCCTGAATGGATTCTGTCTCTGCCTCAGTTAGTCATCCCTCTGGGACAGATTTAGTAACTGCTCAGGGAAACCACGTAAAAGCCAACAGTTCGCCGTGGAAGGCAGCACCCACTCACTGTCAGCATTCTGAACGAGTGAGCTGAGAGTGCAGCCAGGATTAGGAGTGTGACTCGAGCCTCACCTGCTGTGTAGGGAGGGATGGACTGCCCCACACCCGGTCCCAAAGCACCTCCTGTCACTGCCTGCCAGCTCTGTGCACATAACAGTCAGGACACCGAAGCTTTCTGTAAGGACAGTTTATTTGCCCCTTTAAACAAATAAGGCAAGAAATGTTGAGAAAGATCAAACACAACCTCCTGTATCAAACTCAGAGGAATGCAATAAAAGTTACTATTTCATACATATATAAACTAAAGACCCAACACTATTATATACAAACAGGCAGACCTTACAAAATAGCATTTCAAGTCAGCACTTTATGCCAGTGTTGCTAATTTGTTACAAAAAAGTTAAAGCTACAAACTTCACATTATTAAGTCTCATGTGACTGACATCATCAGCATCTCTGGGTTTCAGAAGCAAAGATCACGGTTTGTCCAGAACGCTTTCAGCAATGCACATGGGCCCAAGGAGCACCTGAATGCAGCTTCACAACTAAGCAACTGCTTTGCTTAAAAACCTTGTCAGAACAGCTCTCCTGGAGGGTGGGAGCCTTGGTCTTAGTCGGTAGGGCTCTGAGAACTAAGAGGGTACAGTGCTCTACAAGGGCATCAGAAAGGGAATTAATTTCTCTCTACCTGATAATCAGTGAAGGAGAAAATAATTCGAACTCTAAGTGCAAGAAATATCACCAAGCCTCAGCCACCGCAAGCTTGTAAGAAAGGTTCAAAGGCAGTTGGGCCAGTTTTACTTATTTTGGTTCATTTGCTGTATTTTAAGACAATCGCACCAGCAAAGCAGAGCATCTCAACAGTGCTTACATTCAGTTACAGCAGACACAGGTTGCATAATCCAAAAGCACACACCACAATGTGGTGCTTCACCTAAAACTCAGGTTTTCTAATGCCCTACGAAGACCAGAAAGTTACCTACACAGTGCAGAGGTAAAACTACTCCCAGCAGGATCTGCCTGACCGGAATTACACCCAGCAGCGCACGGTTTGCCACGTGCCACATCTCTATGCCCAGCAGAGGTACAAAGCAGGCTTGCAGAGCAGTGCTGCTCACCCTGGGATGAACCGATGCAGCCAGATCTGCAGGGGGTACAAATGGCTTGGTTCCTTTCACAGCAATGGAGTATGCCTGTTAACAGTAGTCAGCAGTCTGCTGCAAGCAGGGAATGAGAGCCTCTCGAGGCATGGAATGAGCAGCATTTGATTCAGGAGACAGTGCTGTTTAATGACCTGCGGGAAGCACCAAGGCCTGTTTCAGAGGATTGCATGGAAACTCTTCTCTCCGTCAGAGCATAACAAAAACAAATTGGTAGGAATACGTGGTTCTGTCCAAATATTTCACCATAAGCTAGGTACACCTAAAGCTGTGCAGAGGCATCGCTCGCTCTGTGCCCAGATCTGGGCTCACCTCACGCTGCTTCAGTTTCCTCCTCAGCTCCACCAGTGGGAGCGAAGTGCACCATCCTCACTGATTGTACAAGCAGGGCATCTTCAGCCATAGACCCGTGTCGGGAAATTTAATGAGAAAGGAGCACTCAGAGGGACTGAAGAGAATGAATCTCTTCCCAGACATTGGCTACTGGGACATCAGCCATTGGCCTCTCTGGATCAGCTCTGCCCCCTCTCCATCCAACAATGCACATCTTTGACAACCCAACGAATGTCTGCTTTCTGTTTAACTTTCTGACGTGCTAAGCCTGGCAGAAATGCAAAGTATTGTGAAGTTTTTATTCCAGCACCTAAAGAGGTAAATGTGAAGTGATGAAGCGTATGAAATATTTCACACACTGCAGAGTCCTTGCAGTGCTCTCAGACACAGCAGAAGTACCAAATTCTGAGAGAGGTTCAATGACTTCCACCCATTCACACACCGTGCCCTCCCAGCACTCTGCTGTCAGCAGAAGGACAGACGGAGGGGAATCTGCTTTGTTTTAGGTCAGATCATCGATTGGCTTCAGCTTTAAGTCAAAGTGGGTTTTAAATTACAGAATGTAACTTCTCCTGGAGGCACAACACACTTCATCTACTCATATTAATTCCTAACGTACACAAGCAAAGGACAAAACCAAGTTCTTGAAGAAATCCCACTCGATCAAAGCACAAAGTGTAAGGCATGGGGCTTATTACAGCTTTTTAAAAATGAGATTTAAGTGTCTTCCAAACAGCTGGGACAGTCTGTAGGTGTTCTCATCTACTCTCTTCAACAACCTAAAACTTATCAGTACCTTAACAGCAGAACCATACAGTCATCAGCTTGAAACAGAGTCTGTGCATTCACGAAGAACAACAAAAACAATAAAAAAAACCCACAACAGATGCAGCCATTAAATACACAATTCATATTAACTTAAAGAAAACGGAGTATGGAAAGGTTCAGTTGAAAAGAGAGTGAGCCATCTTCCATTGGTCTATTTCTATCCACTCATCTGACTTAAAAATAATCCATCTAAAAACAGTAACAGAACTCCTTCGGATACTGCTTTAAATATGTGCCTAAATTAAAACACACCACAAGGATTCTCCACTTAATGGCATTCCTGAGTTCACAAAGGTGCTATGGAAAAATAAATGAGCAGAAGTATTGCCCTCTATTTTGCTAGCGTATTTCAATAGAAATCAACCTGTTTAGTAGTCATAGAAGCAAGGAGCTGATTGCTGGGGGCTGGAAGGACATTCTACCCGTGGCTCAGAAGTTCTGCTGCCGCCGCTTCTTGGCTTCGATGGCATCGAGGATGGGCTGCCGCTTGGACTGGTACTTCTGGCGGATCTCCTCGATCTCCTGCTCCATCATGGGGTCCAGCGCCGACAGCCTCCTCTGCAGCTC